CGGGGCGGTGTCAGGGGCTGCGCTCCCAGGAGCCGTCCGCTCCGGCCCGGCCCGGGGCCACAGCGCCGTGGGCCACCCTGGGGTCCCCGCTGCCGTCCTCCTCTCCTGGGACAGAGCCAATTTGGGCCAAGGGGTCCTGAGGGGCCTCCATGGGCCCCTGCGTTCCCATCTGAGAGCTGGGACCCCCAGTTTGAAGAGCGACTGAATCCTCTCCTCCCCACGCCCCTTGCGGGCGATCGGGGGTGCCCCCCACACAGAGCACGGGCTCAGCTCCGGGAGAGCAGCCAAGAGCTGTCCAGCCCCGGGTCCGAGGAGGAGTCCAGCGGCAGCTCCAGCAGGGCAGAGAGCAGCAGGAGGAGGAAGAGGAAGAGGGAGAGGAGGGCGAGGGGGGGCTCGGACCCGGGGGAGGAGGAGGAGGAGACCAGGCACAAGAGGAGGAAGAGACAGGAGCTGGCGAAGCAGGATCGGCAGAGGCCGGAGAAGAGCCGGGAGGAGGGAGAGGAGAGGCCGAGCCAGGGGCCGAAGGAGGAGAAGCACAGGCAGAAGAAATGGAAACACCGGAAGGAGAAGAGGGAGAAGAAGGAGGAGGTGGACAGCAGAACAGAGGAGGAGAAGCTCTGGGACGAGTCCATCCTGGGGCTGATGTGAAGGGCCGCCTCAGGCTACCCGCAGGGGTCCGAAGAGTCACGCAGATCGATGCCCCTGCGGTACACTACAGCCTGAGGGGTGCACAGAGGGGCCCGGGCTGGTCAGAGGTCTGCTTGTTCTTTATCACTCTGAAATGAGGAATAATTTAGCAGCTGTTTTCATCCAAAGTGACTTACAGAGACTATGGGGGACTGTCTATCAACAAGTGCTGCTGCAGATTTTAAGTCCACAGGAAGAAGCATGACGAAACTCAACTAGAATCCAGCATGGTGTTGTGAGAAAAATTAAGACTAAGGGGACACAAATCAAGGTCATAACTTTGATGACCCCGCGAAGACCTTAGCTTTTACTATGTTCTTAAGCTTCTCATGTGCAAAATACCCAACCGGTTCTCCACATGCCACCTCTCCAGGGCTCCAGATTGTGCTCCTCTTTCGTCTGTAGACTGTGGCCGGTCAGCAACACTGGTTTCAAAGCCCTGTGAACACTATGGCCTCCGAGCTTCGCATTGTTGTCCTGGAGTGAAGTTCGCTGGTGCCCAAGCCTGAGTGTTCTGACAGAAGGTGCAGGGGTTTGGCTGAAATACACGGTAAACTTTGGAATGTTTCCGGCCCTGGGTTCGAGCTTGGACACCAGGACCAGAGCTGGTCCATCTCTGTTCTTCCAGGAGGGAGCTAGTCTATCTCAACAGGAGGAGCTTCGCCCTGCTGTGCCCCTCGTGCAGCTCAGCCTGCGCTTCATCCAGACACTCCACCAGCTCCTGGGACCCCGAGGGGCCACTGCCGTGCTCTTCCAGGGGTCTCTGTGGTCTCACTGACACCAAACACACGTGGTCAGTTTCTCCCAGACTCCCAGCTGCTGTCCCTGGTGTGAGTGATCCTGGTGTCCTCTTCCAGGGGGGATAGGAACCATCCCACTAGCTGTCGGCGTGTTGATGGTGGAAACTGCGCTGTCCTGCGGACTTTGTGCGGCTGTTGCTAGTCTTGAGGTCTAGGAAGTGGCACTGAATGTTCTGCTTGTGTGTTCTGCCTCCTTTTATACTCAGAGGCCATCAGGGTGACTTCCTGGAGCTTCCCCTGGCCCTGGGAAACGACCAGGCAGCTACAAACCATCACTGCAAGGGGACCGAATGTCCTGAATTTGCCAACGTTCAGTGTGTTCAGGGTATGACTGACTGTGAACACTACGTATTTTGAAATGTATTTTTGTAATAATATACTCGTCGGCGTAACTCCACCCTCACTTCTGGATATCTGTAATGGAGAATAATTTAATTTTTTGGTGTTTGTGGAGTAGAAGACTCCTTCTTTCCTGTGCTGTGCTGTGATTGTATTTTGGGTTATTAGTTATTGTTCAATTTTGTTGTAAATATGTCTCGACCGTATGGATAATATACAGCGCCTTAACGTGTTTGAATTCTTCATGTTACCTGCTCAATTCTCAACATGCTAGTCTGATGTGAAAACATATTTTCTTACAAACTGTATTTTTTCTCCTTTTTAGGAGTTTTAGTTTTTATAATACACTGTATGTGAACTAGAGGCACAGGGTTAAGACTTAAGAAGCAGCTGTCAAAGCTCTGATAATCGTCTCCACCCAGACAGCAGTGCATGTGTGGAGCTCACAGACTGACCACAGCTGCCTCTGGCCAGGGAATCCCCTGTGGGCATCAGGGTAGACCTGACCTGTATACGTGTGGTCAGTCACAGAGTGACCACAGTTCTGATACAGTGGAGTGAAAAAAATTGTAACAACTGTGTTATAGTTGTTGTTTGGATCTTTAATTTAAATTAACAACAATAATTGTGGGTAAGATGATATTGATTTTGGTTGTTTTTCTGGATTTGCATATCTTTATATACGTTATAGAGACTTAATAAAATACCGACCCATTTTGAATGACTCAGTTTCACTGTTGTATATGACAGCTGAATGGAGAAATTTTCAGAAACGATTTAGGATCCTGTACATGACTTTATTTATAAACGTCTCATCTGATGTATGCAGCACTATACCACAGAGGAAAAAAGTATATGGTAGTATCAAGTCACTGATGGGAGTTTTCTACTCTGAGAGTTGTTTAAACAACTGGATGAGATACTTCAGCTACTAATACTGAGTTAATAATGAGTTAGAGGGACAGAACAGCTTCTTCTTGTTGATTAAAGTCTTAGGATCTGTACCTTTATAGCTCCTGGAGTGTCCCAGCAGGAATTTGTCTTTTCGCATTTCCCAACTTGCTCTCCATGGGACACACAGACAGGGAGAGAGATGCTTGTGGTCAGAGCGCAGGGTCAGCCATTGTACAGCACCCCTGGAGCAGCTGGAGTTAAGGGCCTTGCTCAGGGGCCCAACAGAGTAGGATTCCTCTGCCTCAACCTTCCAGCCACAGGCGCAGATCCTGAGCCACAGAGCCACTGCACCGCCCCTGATCTGTTATCAGATGAAACTTATCAGATCAGGGGCGGTACCTAAATGGGAAGTAATATGCATTGCATATTTCCATTTCTAAGCCCAGACACCTTTTTCAGCTAACAGAATTTGGCTGATACCTTGTACTACCTTACATCTGGCATTTAACTGGCATGAAATGAGCGCAGTCCCTTGGGCAAAGTTACACAAAAATTACACCCACATCAGATTAAATTGATCTGTTAAGGGAAACCTGAGAAAGTCAGCGTACACCTCATATGGCAAAACGTTTTAGGGAACGATATAGGAAAGCTGTTACTAAACCTCTGTGTCGGTTTCAAAGATTTTGCTAATGAGAAAGCAAAGCAAGGGGCCGCCAGCCTGCCCACAGAAGGTCAGCACATGTGTGAGGAGGCACTGCCAGCCCATGGAGCACAGCAGCGAGACAGCGGACTTGGACTTGAGGGTTACACGCCGGAGCCCTGCCACATTCATGGGCAGCGGGTACCCAGCGTGCACTGCGGGAATCTGGATGGCTTCTGTTCCAAATAAAACCCCAACATAACAGAAACAGACCCATCACCACATCAACACGCTCTCCCGTTTAATTTGTGTCACTAAACTTAACTGACTTCTTTCACAGAACGGGGGGCAAATTCCGCTCTTAAATAGATCACCTTGTCCACTGGAAACGGATGTGTTGGCGCTCAGCGCTCGGGCCTTGTGTGGGGCTCTGGTCACAAGGGTGGTCTCCGGCTCGCGGGTGAGTTCTGTGTCACAGAAACTGGGCTAGAGGTGCCTGTGATTTCCTGCCCAGCACAGAGAGCTGAGAGAAAGGAGGAGGCAGTGTTTCCTGGGCATTGCCACGGGCCGCACAGGCTGCTAGCTCTGGGAGGAGGTAGCGCTCGAGAACAGGTCAGGGTAGCAGCAGGTACTGCTGGGCCAATCCTGTCTCTGTGTCTGCATGTGGGCGTCCTGGACCAATTACCTCCCAGATCCACTCTGAACAAACACACAAGCTCCAGTGTGTTTGTTCCGTCACCCAACTCCTCATTGAGCGGTTCTGAAACAGTATTTCCTATTGTTCCCTGGTGCTTTTTTTTTGTCTGGAAGAAATTTGCATGCCCAGCCAAAGAAAATTGACAGTGGGCTAGCAGCCGTGTCTGTGCAGGACCTCACCTGGGGACCCCAGAGCTGCGCAGAGCGCCTCAGCTTCTTCTGCTCCCAAGGTACGAATTGCTGTGACAGGCCTCTCGGCCTGCTGGTCGGAACTCCTACTGCAGAAAGGGCAGTACCAAAAACCAAAATGATCCTGAAATTAGGATCACGCCTCCCCCTTCTCTCAACAACAGACTTGTTTCCTTCTAATCCTCTCTATTCATTTGCAGGTTTTGACGTCACACCCCTGAGTGTGAAGTGTTCTAAGGGGTTTTGGTTGTCTTTAATACCCAATTCCAAAATTTTCGAGTTTTTCACAAATTCTGTTTCAGTCTGATTTATTTGCATTTGGGAGCATTTGGTACAGATTTTCATAGCATGTTTGCCAGATTGTTCTATTTCGGATGGCCAATTCTTCTGGCTTTGATTTATTTAAAGCGTGAACTCTCTTCTCTCCTGCTCCCGCCTCCTCTCCTGTGCTCCTCTCTCCCCCACACCTGAAGAAGGCTCCACAGCCAAAACGTTGTGTTTCTTTTCTTCTCTTTCCAGCAGGGAACAGACCTGTGCTTGTTCCTCTTCAGCTCTACAATTGTTCCAGTTTCTTTGCCCCAGATGTTTTGGAATTTCATGTGGTGAAGGTGCTGGTTTTCGCTGCACCTGTGTCTCCTGTCCCGACTCCTGGCTGTGTCCTCTGCTCCTCTCTCAGGTGACTATTCCAGCTCCTGCTGGAACTCTCCACTGTGAGGCGCTGTCGAGCTGCATAAGTCAGTCGCCCAGGCTGACGACTCTCTGGATTTAATAATAATAATTGCTTACACTTATATAGCGCTTTTCTGAACACTCCACTCAAAGCGCTTTACAGGTAATGGGGACCCCCCTCCACCACCACCAATGTGCAGCCCCACCTGGATGATGCGATGGCAGCCACAGTGTACCAGAACGCTCCCCACACACCAGCTCTCAGTGGGGAGGAGAGCAGAGTAATGTAGCCAATTCATAGATGGGGATTATTAGGAGGCCATGATTGGTTAAGGCCAATTGGAAATTTGGCCAGGACACCGGGGTTACACTCCTACTCTTTTCAAGAAACGCCCTGGGATTTTTAATGACCACAGAGAGTCAGGACCTCGGTTTTACGTCTCATCCGAAGGACGGCGCCTGTTTACAGTATAGTGTCCCCATCACTATACTGGGGCATTAGGACACACACAGACCACAGGGTGAGCGCCCCCCACTGGCCCCACTAACACCTCTTCCAGCAGCAACCTTAGTTTTTCCCAGGAGGTCTCCCATCCAGGTACTGGCCAGGCTCACACCTGCTGAGCTTCAGTGGGTTGCCAGTTGTGAGTTGCAGGGTGATATGGCTGCAGTTTTGAGATTTGAGGCTTTATTTACATCTGTGTTGAAATGTAATTTAGTTCAAGTTAAAATATTAAAAAATTAATAGAGTTTTATGCAAATACATATAGTGGCATGTAAGAATATTGGGCATCCAGGTGGAATCTGATGAGAAGCCACTTTTAGAGGCGATATAAAGTAAAGTTTATTAGATAATACTTTATTAATCCCGTAGGGAAATTGATAGGATGATGTCTGTATCATTATTCACTGTTCTTGAATAGTGTTAATTCGCTACAATATTGACTTGTTATCCTTCTTGCTGCTTCAGCTTTTATTAATTCAGTTGGCAGGATTTTTCAGAACTGAATTACTCAGAAATATTTGAGGAGACTAAGTGGATTTGACTTCACACACGCTAAAAGTTAAAGCGGCAGAACTAAACTAGCTTGGAAAAAAAGTTAGCCGGTAGAAAAATATCGAGCAAAAGCAGAGTTGGGTATTGGGTTATCGCAGTGGTTGTGAGTTGGGTGTTGGGGTATCGCAGTAATCGTGAGTTGGGTGTTGGG